CAATTCCATTTTTGTCTAAATTTCGGAGTAACCGGCCTTCTAGATGCGGTATTTCTTTAGTTATCCTTTCAGGACCTTGGGTTGTCACATGCGTCTGAATTTCATATTTCCGTATGTGGAAAGAAAAAATTGTAATTAATTAGTAATAACATCACTTGAGAGACCATACATATATAGATCTGTAATGAATTCGAACAATTTGTGGCACTGAGTAAGTAGTAAGTACCCTCCATGAAAAGCAATCAGCAAGTGGACAATTTTATATCGCTGTGCATCTCAAACGAATTGTTCTCCAATCAATATTTCCACCCAAATTTTTTAATTCGTGTCACCATTAATATTGTATAACTAAAGATACAAAAAAAAAAAAAAAGATCCATTATATGATAATAGATAGTTTAGAAAATATAATAGTGTGAATGATACAGCCGCAGTCAAACATTTACGATCGATAACCACAGATTTTTAATAAAAGTTTGGTTTATGTTGCTTGTTTGATTACGAGAGTTTCAAAAACTATATATAACCAACAATATGAATAAAAAAAAAAATGAAACTTGAAAAATGCAAAGCGAAGAGAAGTGGGCATGAAAAAGTGAAAATGAGTTGTGAGAAAGAATGGTGGCTACTTATTTTAGAAACGGAATCTTCTTCTTTTTCTTTTCCGTTATTGTTTTTTCATAAATTTCTATTTGCATCTCTCTTTTTTTCTTTCGAGGAGCTTAAACAAATGATGACGACTCAAATACTACTGACTACTGTATATGCTATAATCATATGCATAAGAATTAAGATATCAATTTTAATTTATATACTTCAACAATCATTCGTAGAAAAGAATTGAAACATCAATTTGGTTAACTGATATGCAATATTAGGTTACATTATTGTTTTTTTTTTTTTTTGCATTGGGATTTTTTTGAAACATAATTTATAGAAATTTTTTTTCCCCAATTGACCAAAAAGAAGTGATATATCCAAAAAGAAAGTGATTCTTTTTGCTATAAATGGTTTTTTTTGAAAAATAAGTTTGGGCAAAGCATAATATCAAAGCTAGCTTTTACTTTTGTTTTGACACGACAAAGGTCAACATTTCGTGGGGGGACACAAAAGAAGTTTTAGGCAAATGATTTCTCATGGCGTTGAGGAGCAAAAGTCTTATTTTCTGTGACTCTATTCTGTGCCACGGAACATCTTCAAATTTCGCAGTTACAAAATTCACACATATACCTATCGTTTATCTTCAAATTTCAACAATAATACATATTTGAAATCATTCTAATTTTACTGAATATATCTAAATCAGTGGTTACTTGTTTGTTCATACGAAAATAACATAAACTCCATATATCTCAATGAGTGGTCTGCCTTACGTTCTCAATGATATGAGATAAGTTCTGAGATGTCATATACAATCTTTGATATACACAACCCTAGAATTATAGAAGATTAGCATAAAGAATGTAATATGAAAACAAGTTGTCTAGGAGTTCCTAATGTTTAACAACGAAGAGACTTACAATATACTATATATATATATATATATATATATATATATATATATATATATTCGAATTAATGTTAGTATTATTGAATTGTATTGTTGACAAAAATTACTAGGGATTTTACGACTACATTATTTTTCCAAGACATGTGTATTCATTAATTAATATTATTGCGTAGTAAACAGGTAAACTATATATATATCCCTAGTAATTTTTGTCAACAATACAATTCAATAATACTAACATTAATTCGAATATAATGTATGATTGTTGGGGCCACCTCGTGGCATGTACGCACATGTTACAGAAAGAAACGCACCAACGCCATCTACCACACGGACGATATATACTTTTTGATTACATGATTTAAGGTAAATTTATAATATGTTTGGGATTTTATAATGGGATAAGAAATAGGAAGTTAAAGTTGAGATCATATTGGAAAAAGAAAGAAAGAACAAATATGATGAAAACGACGACCCAATTTGAATTTGTAGGTCCAAAAGTTTATTACTTGTGTCGGGTACCCATGGATATAGATGGATGCTTGATCACCCTTGGCTTCTCCCAACCAATTGGGCCAATTTTGATTCTATTTTATTAAAAAAAAATCAGTACTAGTTGATATACTAGTGAGCTTTTTGGTTATATAATTGCTATACAAATATTTCTATAAAATAATTTACTTTATTATATATCACGAAATGGAATACTAATAACTAAACAATCAAGCAATTTACTTACATTTGTTGTATATGTTTTTTTTCTTCAACCCCAATCCCCAATGTGTAGTTTTTTTTTAACACAGAAGTGTATATATATATAAAGAATATAAAACCACTTAGGTGAAAAGATTATTGTTAATGTCCATAGGTGAAGAAGATGTTTTGTTCAACACAATCTCGAACTCACTTGTCTCATTGTCACCTTCACCCTCTTCTTCCTCATCGTATTCATCTTCTTCACTCTCTCCTTCTTCTTCATCTTCTTTATCACCAACTTTGTCCCTCTGATCAGTCTCAAGCTCAGTCTGGGTTTCTTGTGAGACAAGCAACTGTCTCTCTGGAGTTACCATTAGAGGCAATGGCAAAGGCAGTGGCATTGCCCCATTTTTGTTCCTCTCGTTGTATAAAGCTTCGAGTTGGTGAAAATATGGGCATGTCTTGGAATCAAGGGGTCGTTTCTTGTTGCTTTCTTTGACTTTCTTGAAGTACTTGTTTATGTTTTCCCACTTCTCTTTGCATCGCTTTGCATTTCTATTGTATCCCAATCTTCTCATCCCTGCAGATATCTCTTCCCATAATGGCCCTTTAGTACCGTTTTCTTGATAGTTAGCTTCAAGATTCTTCCTTATCCTTATCAAGGCCTCAACCTCGGTTTTAGGCCATCTTGAAGAACTAGGAGATATAGAATGGCTGGTATCGTAATTCCCTATCTTCGTTGTTGTTTCCAACAGAATCGTCTTAGGCTCTTTACTCTCAAACGTTATTGAATGGTCGCTTTGATATTGTTTCCTTTGTGATGGTTTATGATTCTGTTGTTGCGGTTGTTGCTGTTGTCCTCCGGAGATTTTGTGTAAGAAGGATATGATTGCAGCGTCTTTAGCTGCAGCATTGGACCTCTCATGGAGAAATGTTTCGTGTTCTCTGTTGATTCTCGCTATCTCTTGGACCCTCCAAGCTTCTTCTCTTGAGATTCTCTCTTTCTCCCTATTCTCCAATGTTTCCAAGAACCTTCTTTGCATCTTCTCTTGTTTATCCATCAACTCTTTTGTCAGCTTCGTAAACAATCCTTTCCAGTACCTCCTCCTCTTTCTCGATCTCTTTCCCTGATCATGATGATCCTCTTCCTCGTCAGATGCAGTAGATGAAGAAGTCGAGCTCGAGAAAAGATGCAGTGATGAAACATTGTTCATCAAGTCACTGGAAAGTGGCGGCTGACTAAGAGTAGTAGTATTGTTGTTGCTATAAAAAGGGAAAGGCGTCGTAGAAGAAGGTTGCTTGGTGAGGAAGGTAGGATTTGTGGTGATGGGTTGTACACTGACCTGATGATGATGATGTTTCAACGGTAAAGAACTTTTTTCGGTTGATGGATTGTTATTAGAGCTGATCCATGGTATCAAAGAAGCGGTCGTGAGGGTTGCAGAAGATTTCGCAGGTTGCGACTCAGGATGGTGATAGGAATTGAGAGTCTCGAAAGCTTCTAACTCTTCGAAAAACCGGTAAGTTTTGCCTTCGGATTTACCGGTACGACCTTCTTTGGTACGTTTATGGTACTTGTAAACGTTCTCGAACTTCTCCTTGCATTTCTTTGCACTTCTCTTGTAACCAAGCTCCATCATTTTCCTAAATTAAAATGTATCAATCAGTAATTAACAAACAAAACATGTCTAAACTTTATATTTAATCTAGAGTTGTATGTAATTAGACGAGTATATACGCTTGCATACCTATAAACATATATAAATATTCATATGAATTACCAAATATTATGACTACACATATATAACTGTGTAAGATAAAAAAAAAAAAAGAAGATATATGTATGATCAAAATATATATGTTTCTTGAAAATAAATAATGAATATGCATGTGTAACAAGAAATAACAAACCTGGAGATTTCTTCCCATAAGGGAGCTTTAAGAGTAGAGTCACGAAAAGCTTTACCCATCTCCGAACGTATTCTCAAAAGAGCTAAAGTCTCCGGTCTTGGCCACCGGTTTCCTCCGCCGCCGCCGGCTACTTCGCCGGTTTCTTCCATCATCATCTTCATATCTTTTTCCTCCTCACCCGAACCGCCCGCGCCACCGCCCGAACTCTCTAACGGTCCCGAAGAGTTTCCAGACATACTTACTTGAAAACTGGAATTTGGATCTTTCTTGAAAAGAGAGAGAGAGATATGATGAGGAGGAGAGTTTGAAGAGAAGACGAAGCCTGTGGTTGATTTTCCTTTTTCTTTTCGTTTTTTTTTTTTGTTTTGTCTATTGTGATTTTATCTTAGGGGTATTTAATTGGGTGGGATGGACCATTTATCTAGATCTTATAATTATAAATTTGATACATGCAATTTTATTTTGTATGTAATATTTAATATAAAATACAAAAAAGAGGAGTAGGACTTAAAAGGAGAACTTTTTTCGCTTTCCTTCTGTCTTTTTAATTTTGGGAATCTTTCTCATTGCTTATAAGAAAATTTTGGTACCTATAAAAAGAATAGTTAATTTCATATAAAATAAAACATTTACGTATATTTAATTGCATGAGTGTCTGGTTCACCGTATAACATCTGATTAATGATTAGTTTGATCAGTAGTTTCGGCAAAAATAATTTTCTCAGGAACTCACCATATATAAATATATAGACCAAAATAGTTTAAAAATGGAAAAATGTTAAAATCGAATAATGCAAAAACTCTAAAAAATATATAATTGTTGACTAGAGAGATATAATTATTCTATGTGGGCATATAAATATAATTTTGGACGGTGTTTAACTGTCCCACTTTACCACTTGTGAATGGTGTGACCTGTGTTTGTGAGTTAACTTTGAATAATTTTCTTCTCTTTTACATTTACACGTCTTTTTTTTATAATAATTGGAGTGACTTTTTATATTATTTGGTTTACTAAAATAAGTATATTCAAAGAAAACAGAACCGAAACCAAAAAAAACCCACAATGATGATGATTCGAATAGAAATAATATTACTAATAAGATAGTTATGAGCTGTGGAGAAGCCTAAAGAATAATATTATTACACTAATCTTTTAAATGATTGAGATCATATAATGGATGCTTTTTTATTTTATAATCGCATTAGTATTATTATATAAGGGGGAAACGAAGATAAAATAAAAATAATTGAAAGGTAATCGTCGTGACTCGTTAGAAAGAAGAACACAGCTGCAGATAGGGATAAATATTCGGCTAGCTTTGGGCCTACGTAGGCCCTTTTTTAGCTTCTCACCGCCGCTGGATCACTCACGACGACACACCGACTCTTCTTTTTTTACCTTTTTACCCTCCAACATGTTTTGAGTTTGACTGACCTCTCTCTTTCTCTATCTCTATCTCTTTCTTTAATCATGCAACTAGCAAAGTTTATAATAGTAATTTATAACGAACACGTCATTTGTCACTTCACCGTATATCTGGTTTTGGGATTATGATGTATTTTTGTAATCTATAAATGGTGAAACATTACATTTGATTAACTATATCGTTTTCGACGATTTTTGATGTGTTTGTATATACAGAGCGGTGTGGTGTGGGGCGTAATAAATAAGTACGTGGAGGAGGTTTATAAATTTTGATGTAACATCCAAATTACGGTATTAAATTAGACGAGGAGTTAGATAAATGTCGAGGTTACATATGGTTATTAGGCGGATATCAATATACATACGCATTTATGATTTAAAGCAAAGCAACCAAGTTGTAGAGAGACATGATTTTGTTAGCTTTATGACCTACCTTATTTATTGTCTTCTTTTTCTTCTTCTTCTTTTATTTTTTCCGGTGCCTAATAATATGTTACTATTCACTATTATTATATGTAACGATTTTTTTTTTTTTTTTTTTTTTTTTTTTTTTTTTTAACTTTTGATTGTTGTTTCTTTGACAACCACTGGTTTTATTAGTTTCCTTTTTTTCTATTTTTTTTTTTATCGTATCTTGTTCTTCTTCTTAATTAAAAGACCGTACCGGTATTTTCTTTCTGAACATTTCGTGTTCGTCGTCAGTTCCTGTCAGTGAAGAAGATCAACGTGTTTTCCGTTTCCTAGACACATTTTTAGTATTTTTAGATCAAACTAAATAAAATAATGTGTAAAACTATATATCTTCTTAATTGGTTACATATAAATGTAAAAAAACTATATCGATCTTATCGACCCTAGTAGAGTTATTATACGCCACATTAAAACTTGAATTTCTTTTTCACTAGTAAGATGATTATATAATATAAGATGAACATATCAAAATTCTTGAAACTACGTACGGAGGGTTCGAAGATATTGTATAATTTCATTTATGTAGTTCATATCTTTCTATCGTTAACATAAAATTTTGTGTTACAGTTGTGAGATCAGGATCAGGTCAGACTCGATTTTAGTATAGAGTTATTCAATGCAATATCATCAACTTATAGTAGTAAGATCCTGCACAAGTATAATTTGTGTTTCGTTAAAATTCAGCATACTTTTGGCATTTGTATTCCGAATATATGTGTGGTTATGATCACCACGAAAAGAAAAACAAAGAAGAAGCGAGACTGTGCAAACATATAAATAAAAAGCAATCCACATTATAATAGTTATGGAGATGTTTTGTTTAAGTATAACAAAACATTAATAGGAGAATGGACAATCTTACTGGCAGTTTGTTTTTTGTCTGAAACACCAAACTCTCATCTCCCACTTTTTTCGCATCTCTCTATCTTCTTTCTTCTGTTCCTTTAAATTATTTCTTTCAGAAAATTATTTATTCGCATTATTATGTAGTTTCTTTTCTACTCTCTCTATAAGATGATGATAAAATAAATAAACAAATAAGAAAGAGAGGAAAATAAAATAAAAGCAGTGGTTACAAATGAGCTGGATTCAGATGTATTTCCACTACGTATGGCTCTGTAAAGTGACCCCAACTTGATCCTTTTCTACGTATTCTATACTTATACGCCGTTCATATGGCATGGTATATTCATATATTAATTATTGAATTACACATATATTATAATACATATCCCATTCTTGTTTTTAACATGTAACTTACATATACGCAATTATATATACCCAACTTGAATACTAGTGAATAATGTTTGGTCGTTATAATTCTCACACATATGTAAAAGTGAAAACTCATTGTAGGGTTAGTTTAATTTACCATAGAAACATAATAATTCAATATATTAATTTACCAAAATGACAGACGAACAAAGACAACAAAATTGTATTTATTAAATGCGAATTTGTCACCTATATAGACTCTTATTATTATTTTTTCGAGGATGGTACCAAACGAATGAATGATTCCCAACTCCATAAATAATATTACCTGTTCACTCACCTTTTACAATCGCACCCGGCCAAGAACTTTAATGATGCTATTTAGTTTCTTCTCTCTTGTAGTAGTATATAGTCTTCAATTGGTATTATTATTTTCTTTACTGCAACAAATTTAAATTGTTTCCGTATATACATATTTTTTGTCGGCATATAAAGTATTCCATATATGTATTTTTTTGTATGTACATACAAGTTGTAACAAATAGAAACCATTTTGATTTGTCTGTTTGGAGGTGATCTCAGTGAGTTTGCTTTCAAAGAAGTTGTAGCTATGCACCACCTGATCCAAGGTTTTGAGAACGGGTCTTGGATGGATTAGTTGGATTACATGATGCTCTTTGCTCGCGGCGGTACCAAACGTAGGCGGCGTAAACATTCGCGAGCCGCTTAAATTATATGACGTGTCAAACAGAAGACTGTTCGATTTGTCATAGGTCACGTGTCACCCTTTTGTATCTGATATCCGCCACGTAGGATAATAGTTTCTCCGCTTACGTGGACTTTTCAAGCCTTCTGGTCTGTCCGGAAAATAAGTTGTTTTATGCCAACAAACCAACCATGTGTGTGAGGATGGTCTAATACAAATAAGAAAAAGTTCCTTAAAATAGCGAAACAACTTTATTCCATTTGACAATAATATCACGTTGAGAAAATGTTTTCGTGGCCCGTATAATTATACATTTAATTTAAATTTTACAATATATAGTATTTTTATATTTTTTTCTTGTTAGAGAAAAATAACTACATTGGTGATTTGTTGATCTCCATTTTTAGAGATTTTGTTTTATTTAATGTATATTTCTATTAGTTACGACTTACGAGTATGCAAGTTATTTATATGATAAGATCCCTATCTTTTAACCAAAAAAAGAAAAACTATATAAATATATTTTTATGTATTAAAGGGTCAACCTCATTTGTCATGCCAAGTTCGTTACCGTCCATCGTTATCAGCCAGGTCATTGTCAACTACAATAATTGGAATAATTGACATATTTTGATCTTACCGTAACCTTGCTTTCCTTGACCCTATTTTTAAAACGTTAACTACAATAGAAACATTTAATTAATCAACTAAACCAGATTAAAAAAAAGATAGATAATAACTAAAATTGATGGACCCATTATTTATTTACTTTAATTTTCTTTTCGTATGGATAGCTTTTCTTCTTACATGTTTGCTGGGTATTATAACCAATAAATGTGGCCCAGCTAAAATAATATTAGTTATTGGGCCTTCACTTATTAAAAGGCCTTACTAATATGGGTCCTTATTTCGAATAAACCTGTAACGGTGTATTCAGGTCAGGTGATCTTCCTAGTGAGAGGGCCTTATTAGACGTGTATGAGGGCCTCAATAGATTATACGTTTTATTTTATTTTTTAAAAGTCAAGAAGACCCAAGATCAGTTTCAATGAACTGTGAAGTGCAAATCTGTCAACACTGTAGCTAACTCAAGTACTTGACCTAAGCCACCTGGTTTGATTATGAGCTTCTTCATATGGAATAGTATTTTATACGAATAACATATAAATAAAAAATCATCATGATAAAAAATGGAAAAAACCTTTAAGGTATGTTCTTCCTTAACATATACGAATAATATATGTTTGGTACAGGCAACACGCTTGTAGCCTTTGTAGGACTACTTTTAATGCTCTAATCATTTTGTTACGCACATATACATATGTATACTCGTGCGGCAGCGTCTGCTAATTTGAAATAGTTAACTGATCAATATGTTGTAACCTGTAACCAAGTTAATTTGATTATTATATTCTTCTGCTGTCTATGTGACATTGAAGCCCTCCTCGTCTTCTTAGGTGACTAGGTCTCTCACTTGCACCACGTTTTTTTTGTTTCGGGGGTATTTAAGATAGTTAATAATAATAATAATACTAATCATTCAATCTCTGTTCTTTGTATACTAGTGGCTCGGTGGATACTTTTGCTTTTGGGTTGTTTTTTTTTTTTTTTGCGTGCCAACTTTCATTTAAACTATTTAAACACACTGTATGATATCGATATCTCCAGCTGCTTTGTTTCCCAAACATATTTGTATCGTTTTTTTTTTGTTTTTGTAATTTCTTATTCCTTACAGTAGTCCCCATTATACGTTATTCGATCGGTGAAAACCAGTTACAATTATAAAAATGTAGAATGACGTACCACGTATCAGTATATCGAAAGATATACAAATCTTTGAATTATTTGTTTTGTATAGTTATGGTTTTTGACCAAAAAAAAAAAAAAAAGTATAGTTATTGTTATATATATTTCCGTCGGTAGTTTTGATAATACAAATGGCGAACAATAGCAAATGGTATTAATAAAACTTTGAAAATTGTATATTAGTTAGTAACCGAGAATTTCCTCGAATATTCAAATGAAAATAAAACCTCTATCTCAGTCCGAGGCTTTCTCTAGGTCAAAGTCAACCTCTTTGGTGATGTGCCTTACCTGCCACGGCGTATCGCTTTCCAAAACAAACATACATATCTACTAAATTTATTCTTGTTGTCGTTTTCTTATAAGTATATATAACTCGAATCGGGTTTAGTTGTTTCTAGCTTGCAAAAAATCTTTTCACAGCATTGATTCTTAATAATTAAAATATAGCAAATACCATATAGTAAATTGAACACATCTCTTTCTCCACCTTTGCGTATGGCCATGATCTTTTTTTCTCGTATGTACATGTTTCGTCTTCTTTGTTGATTATAATTATTTAATTAAAAAAAACAGATAGCAATAGTTGACAATACGAATCACATATGTTGTTGCGTATGTTTGCTAATCTTATCTCAAATTCTATGTCACTGTTTACACAAAATACTCCATGAGATAAAATAATTTGGTAAGTAATTAAATCATCATGGTCATGGGTTGGGGTATTGTTGGTATTTATGACGAGAGTGTGTTGCTCAACAAATCTCAATCACGGAACGATCAATCTCAGCCGTTCAAATTTTATAAGAACAAAATATAGTCTTTAACCTTATCCATTTATCCCATATATATCTCTCGATTTCTCCCACGTAATCAATCTTTCTTTTTCTTTCTCACACACAAGAAAAAAAGAAGATGAAGTTAGTTTTTTCTTTTAACACTTTCTTTTTGTTGTTTATGAAAGTTGACAAATAATTAAAGAAGGTTGAAGAAGAAAATGAACCATAACCAATGATAGTGGCATTTAAAATATAAAGTTGAAGTCCAATCAAAGGGATATGATTTTTGCTACAAAAAGGATAGAATGCTTTAGTTTTTATGAGTCTGAGACTTGTCGTTTCAGCATAATAGATTTTGCACTACTGAATTTGTTTGTGGCTACCACCCGAACACATCGGCCACTCTCGGCGGGTATCATCGAATAGTCGGCAAACGTTATGAACACTGTTTTGTTTTAATTCGCCATAGCCATTAATTAGTAGTTTGTCTAATCTACACTTAAAGAATGTTTTATGAGAAACCAATGTTGAATGAATACTTTCATAAAAGAATGGTAGGTAAACCCTACCAAATTACACAACCCTTAAAAATTATCTTTTTGTTTTTCATATATCGTAGATCTTTTTTTTGTTGTACACATCATGAATAACTATTTTTTCTGTTCAAAAACATATGCAAATTTAGATGTTATCAACAGCATAAATGACTTATAAGTTAAGAAACATAAATAAATCTTACCAAGTGATAATTAATCTCAACAAATTTGTTTTTTCCCGGATATTTCCAAAAAAATTAAGAAGAGGTCAACGAACAACTTGCTAATTAAATAAATTCGTTCGTGCTTAGTGGACTCATTTTTGCTTATTTGTTTTGTTTTTTACATTAATACAATTTGTTTCATTTAAAAAACATATAATTTGTATTTATAGTATTTTAATTTTATATAATTAAATATGCTGCACAGAGTATTTTAGTCAGAGTAGTAATAAACAGTTTCCTTAAATATAATATTGGAATATATAAAATGGTGAAAATAATGAGATGTGTGTTCGTGTTCGTGGAGCGGAGGACAACGTAGTTGGTTTCCGCGTGCTGTACGAGAGACACAGATAAACTTCTAGAGAGAGAGAGAGAGAGAGAAATACAGATTGAGACAAAAACCCTCAAAACGGATTTGAACGGAGAAGACGAGGAAAAAGAAAACACACAAAGACACACAACTCTGTAAGTTCTCAGACACAGTTTTAGTTTCTTGATCTTTTGTCTGAAAATTTTCAAGATTTGATATTTTGCGGTTTTTATTTACATTTCTGGGATTTCTGGGGAAGCATTTGAGGTGTGGAGTGTCTCTCTTTTTGTTTCTTCGAATTCGTCTGAATTAATTTGAGAATATCAACAGATCTCTGTTTGCCTTGGAATTATCGATCTTTCTCTCTGTGTTTCTTGAATTTGGTCAGTTTTTTTAAGCTGCGGTTCTAGATCTAACTCCTTGTAGACCAATTTAATTGACTAAAGTTCTGGATAAGATTAGCCCTAATTTGTGATCTACAATATGATCCAGAATCCTAGAGTCTCTAATTTCACTTGCTCATGAAATATGTAAATCTTCAAAAAAAAATTTTTTTTTTTCCTCCTCTCAAATTAGTGGAAAGCCTAAAGACTTGTCTTTTCTCAATTGAATCCAAAGAATACGTAGAAGGTTTATACTTGGAATCAGATCTCAATTATTTGGTGGGAATTGGGACCATTTTAATCAATCAAACATTGTTCTTGGGAGCAGAGACTGTTGTTTCCTTTTGCTTTTTTACATCTTTCGAAGATTCTTCATTTTGAATTAGCAGTTTTGAACTTGTTATCTTATCTTTTTACTAAATGTGATTCAAAAGAATGTTTCTTAAATATTTATAAAAAGCCTGTGGTGTTTCCTGCTTTTGGTCCATTGTTGAGAGAATCTTCTTTTCTTCTCTTCCCCTGTCATTGCTTTGTTATTAAGTATCGTTCAGAATTTTAATCAATCTCTGCTTTTGTGTCTTTCAGAACCTTGAGAGAGAAAAGAGAGAGAGAGAGGGTGAGAGAGAGAAAATGTCATTCCGCAGCATAGTTCGTGATGTAAGAGACAGTATTGGAAGCTTGTCCAGGCGTAGTTTCGACTTTAAGCTAAGCAGCCTGAACAAAGAAGGTGGGAAATCTCGTGGTTCAGTTCAAGATTCCCATGAGGAACAATTTGTGGTCACGATTCAAGAAACCCCGTGGGCGAATCTGCCTCCAGAGCTATTGCGGGATGTGATCAAAAGGCTTGAAGAGAGTGAAAGCGTGTGGCCTGCTAGAAGACATGTGGTTGCTTGTGCTTCTGTGTGCAGGTCATGGAGAGATATGTGCAAAGACATTGTTCAAACTCCCGAGCTCTCGGGCAAGATCACATTTCCTGTGTCGCTAAAACAGGTTAGTATTTCAGTTCTTTCTTATGTTGTCACCACATATGTTTGGTTAGTATTAAGATGATTTTGAGTAATCGTTCTTTTCGGTGTTTATAGCCGGGACCAAGAGATGCAACAATGCAATGCTTTATCAAACGGGATAAATCTAACCTGACTTACCATTTATACCTTTGTCTCAGTCCTGGTAAAAGCTTCATCTTGTTTGTTCCTGTTCCAAGTTGGTCTCTTTCATTGCCTCTTTATCCATTGGTCTGTTTATTATTTTCAGCTTTGTTGGTTGAGAATGGAAAGTTCCTTTTATCTGCAAAACGCATAAGAAGAACTACTTACACCGAGTATGTGATCTCTATGCACGCAGACACCATTTCCAGATCAAGCAATACATACATTGGCAAAATCAGGTATAAGTCTTTGCTGAGTTACAAAACATTTAGAAGTGAAAGTTTCCAGCATACCATAAGTAAAGTAACTAAGTATCTTTTCTCGGTTTCAGGTCTAATTTTCTGGGGACGAAGTTCATAATTTACGATACACAACCTGCATACAATAGTAACACCTCTCGAGTTGTCCAACCGGTAGGTATTAGCCGCAGATTTTACTCAAAGAGAATATCTCCCAAAGTCCCGAGCGGGAGCTACAAAATCGCTCAGGTGTCTTACGAGCTAAATGTACTTGGAACTCGCGGTCCAAGGAGAATGCATTGTGCGATGCACTCAATTCCTGCTTCTTCCCTCGCGGAAGGTGGAACTGTGCCTGGACAGCCCGAGATCATTGTTCCGCGCTCTCTTCTTGATGAATCATTCCGCAGCATTACCTCCTCCTCGTCGAGTAAAATCACTTGTGATTACTCGAATGACTTTAGCAGCGCACGGTTTTCCGAAATTCTTGGTCCGTTAGGTGAGGACGAAGAAGCAGGATTAGAAGAAGGGAAAGAGCGGATTATGCCGCCGCTTGTGCTTAAGAACAAGCCGCCTAGATGGCACGAACAGCTTCAATGCTGGTGCCTGAACTTCAGGGGACGTGTAACTGTCGCATCAGTTAAAAACTTCCAGCTGATTGCAGCAAACCAACCTCAGCCTCAGCCGCAGCAGCAGCCGCAGCCACAGCTTCAGCCTCAGCCTCAACTTCAACCGCAGCCTCCACCTCAACCTCAACCTCAGACTCAACAATCCGGCCAGACCGATGGTCCCGACAAGATCATATTGCAGTTTGGGAAAGTGGGAAAAGACATGTTCACGATGGATTTCCGGTATCCGCTGTCGGCGTTTCAAGCTTTCGCTATCTGTTTAAGCAGTTTCGATACGAAACTAGCCTGCGAATGAAGTTAAAAACGCTTTGTATGTAATGTTTTTCTTTCACATTTGCGTCCGGAGATTCTTGTCTTGTGGGTGTTTTATTTTCACCGAGAATCTCAGAAATTAGTTCTGTTTCAAGCTTTCCATCTATCCTGATCTGCGTATGTTGTTTATTGCTTACAACCAAATTGTATATTACAGTTTGGGTTTCTCAAATTTATTATAATTCCATTGTTTTCTGAATGGTACTCAAAAACCCAAAACGAGAATATATGTTAATCATAAATCTGCATTGGGTTATGTTATAGTCTTATTAGATAGATATATCCGATTTTACATAGATGATGAAAAGTTTAGGTAAGTAAAATTTGGACAAAATACAGTCTTACTGTAAAACCTCAAATTATGGTCAAGGGAAGGGACAGGAGAGACGACGACAGAGAGCAAAAACAAATGACAGACACCGAGAAGTGAGCACACTGCTTTGTCGACATGATCGTCAGAGCAGATTTTCAGGAAACGGCAAGCAAACCATGTCGGAAAAAGCTACGTGGCAGAACATCTTCTAGCTCTTGCGTTCCCACGTGGACCGGGACGGCTTCTCCTCAGAAGAAACATCGAAAGATCTAAAAAAGCAACTATCTCCCTGTGTTTCAAAGACATATGTTAATGATTGTCTTCTCATGTACAAGATTTATAGTTTCGATTGATGATGAGTTTTCAAAGAAAATATTGATATCTCCTTTTTCGTCAAACTAATGTATTATATTTATTCTACAATTCTAAAGTCCAAAAGGACCAATCGTGTGTGAATATGGTGTGAAGAGCCCATCAAGTAGAGAGACCCCATTTTATGCATCATTTTTAATCTGCGTTTTGAATGAAACATTTGTTCCAGTTTTCTTATGGTTATAGACTTATAGTTTTGATAGAAAAAAACAAAAAGTTAAGCCAAACTTGTTATTGCATTTATTGGTGATCTTGCTTCGGAGGTGTGGACCAATCGAACAACAATTCAACCACTATTTGTGGATTTATGCGAGGAGATTAAAATAAGTATTGACCTAACTATGATAGTTATAGTTTAATTAACCAAGATATGTGACATAACTAATTTTGTTTGAAGTATAAATTTCATCCCATCTTGGTGATCCAAAAGGCAAAAGTCTTTGAAGGGCCATCCTGGTTAGTTGTCTTTGAAAGGGTCAATGTGGCTCATTTCTAGTTGCCGCTTAGGATCTTAAAGATTTCATTTTCTGAGAAGAAATGCTAAATGATACATAAAATTGTAATAATTCTGTTGGCCAGATTTTTTATTTTTCTCATAGAATATTTGGAACACAACATTAAGATTATTTCCTTCTCAACCAATATTATTGATCAAAGACAGTGTGTTAGAAATCCAAGTTTGACGATAAAAATATTCTTTAAAAAACACAATTCAACTAAACATCAAATTAATTACATTGGGTTTCTTAGTGTTTAAATATTGTCAGCTACAAGAGTGGAGTGGTGGAGCACTAAATCACACCACCGAAGCTAGTGTTTGCGTGATTACTCTCGTTAATCTATTAATAAATGTTACCGCAATAACCAACCGTTTGCATTGATATCGTAACCTTGTTGTCAGCGTTTTCCATACTAAAGTAAATAATACTTCTATACTTATTACTGAATTATAAGATTTGCTTAAAACAAGCATAACAAATTATCCACACGTAAAAAGAGAGAAGTCGAAAACAAGTGCTAAGTACTCGACACACACAAGTTTCGTTTTCTGGCTAATGAGACAGTTGTGAATGATCCGATGATCTATTATGGAAGTCGCATAATCCAATTGCTCTCAATCAACCGTGAAACCAACCCTCGGTTTTCTCGAATTGGTTAGTAAACCAACAAATATTGTCTTATATGTATATCCATCAATTTTCCACTTCTACGTACTTGAGCACGCACGCACTCTTTCACGTCAACCATGACTAGAAAATTCAGAACCCTAACGCACCTTCTCGGACAAGAAAACAGAAAGTCCTCTCATGAGAAACCCAATTCATAATGGGCTTCATAGTTATGGATTAGAAAACATAACAGGCTCATGGACTTATATATCTAAAAATTTCAGAGCCCAAGGTTATAATCGTCATTCTAGGTGTGAAGCCCTAATTCTATCGACTATTTACATAATAACCTTCAAAGTCCACAAGCAGATCTGTTTGCTTGCATTCTTCTCGCCGTGTAGTGGTCTCTGGTTCATAGTTCTCGAAATTTTTGATTTCTAGTTGATGGTTTTAAATTATAGTCGGATCTTAAACTTATTTCGTTTTTGGTTGTTGAGATTTGCCCAATGATGCATAAAATTATGTTATAGAGCGGTAGTATTTGGGTAATCTCCGGCGTGTTGTAGTAATAACACTGTTGTTTATACCTTAAAAGCCTTGAACGCTGTCGCTTCGTAGTCGACGACATTCACACACGCGCACATCTCACTTGCACCGCTTCACCATCCCCACACACGTGCGTCGGATGCGAAGCGGTGGTGTTCAGGGATTTTTTTTAAGGTTGCTGGATTTTATCCATTTACTGTCAAACCGTGAATGATCAGATTATAGCTATGAGATCTGAGGGCTCCTTTTTTTGTGTAATTAAAGCTTCGTTTTTTTTTATCTATTCAAGTGTTTTTGTTTCCTGTGTTTTCTTTGCCCATTGATGTGAAAACTCAATTCTGAGTGGTGCCCTGGTTTTTAAATTGTGATCTCGTTGTTATCATTGCAGCTCTTCATCGTCATCATCATCATCATTGTCAATGACTAAGCTTCTTCTTCTTCTTCCTCTTTGTCGTCTCTCTCTCTGCTGCTGCTGCTGCTACTGCTACTGGTTTATTGCAATGGTAGCTGAGGTTCATTTTAAAAACCGGATTTTGATGCGCCACACATGACAGATTTGTTTACTGAGGGTTTGTTTTATAGCTCTTATATTTTGTTTTTGTGAATCATGTACAGTTTTGTTGTTGTTTTTGATAGACTTGAAGTCCTGTGATGATTCTTTAATGTGTTGGAAGTGGTGCCGCTTCGACTTTTCTAGCTGAGACTCATCATCTCCATTGTTGTACCTGCTTCTCTCTCTCTCTCTCTTTCTCTCTCTCTCTCTCTATCTTTATATATATATATACATCAACATACATGCATGGATGGTTGCAGCAATGGTGATGATGAGAGATTGGCTTGGATGAAACGTATGCGTTGTATCATCTATGAACATATAAATGTTTTCTTAGAACTGAGGGCTTTTTATACTTTATTTCTATCGTTTAAACTGCTTGCTTGAAATTATTTGGTTAGATTTGAATTTTGTATCTTAGTAAAATTTGCAGGAGTCCGAACATCTGAGAAGTTTTAATCTTCGTTTGTGGTGGCCAACATTTGCCTCCTCTACAACAAAACCTGACTTTTCTTTGGATTCTAGTAAAAGCTTTATTGTTTAATTCTTTCTGAGTTGTGTATTTTTTTGAACATAACAAATCACGTAGTATGTTTCCCCTAATAAAATAATGTTAATGTAATGTTGTTGAATTACTGTAGACATATATTATCCAAGTATAGTTTAGACTGCCCATAATTACAAAAGTCTAATTGCACTATTGGCCTATTTGTTCAAATGCGGGAATCTGAGTTGAACTGGTTCCCGTTCTTCATAATTTATTTGTAACGCTGTATTTTGACCAATGAGAAGAGTCCTTGAGTAAGTTGACCAGTCCAATGTATCTCGCACAACTTACTTTGCTGGTCTTTCCTTTTGTATAAACCATATTGAGTTATGCAAATTCATGTGAATCTTATTCCGATCGCTGTTTATTGGACCTGTTTTATTTTACATAATTCAAATTTCAGTAGACAGGATCGGCCTAATCCTAATCTATGAAAAACAGTAGCCGTAAATTGTTTTGGACATACCCGGTAATAACCAACGAGGCCGACATAACAACTTGATTGTTTTAAGGCAATTTTATTATTTTTAATATTTTCGTACAACTAGTAATGAAACCATGATGTTAGAATTTCAATCCTGTAAAATATAATACTCTCTGTCTATTAACATGTATATTGTAGAGTAGCTTTGTATATGATTAAAAGGCTCTGGAATGTCTAGTTTATTGTAATAATTAACAATCTGGTTATTTCCGTTTTAGATGAGATTGTATAGAATAAAGATCTGTAACAAACTCTTTGATTCATTAATAAGAAATCTGAGTATTTTGGGATATGTCTTCTCTCTCGATGACGTTTCCTGATATGGTATCATAGCATTTTTCTTAGCTCGTTTGATCTCTGATTTCTTGTTCAATTCTTCATTCTCTTCTCAATTTCTTCATCTCTCGTTGTATCGATTCCAAATCTGTGCAAAATTTGAGCTCAAGCGGAGGAGATTCATATTCCCAGCTTCTGATTTCATCTATCTTGCACATTTGCGCTTCGATCTTCTCCAATGGTGAAACAGAAGAAGAAGACGCTTCCTCGTAACACCTCTCCGGTTTCAGATTTTTCACCGATGAAGACTCGAGCTGGTTCTTCATTTCCAGCGGACGATGACATCGCTTTGACTCCGAATCCGAGGTTTACGGCGCTCCGCAACAAATCCAACACAATATCTGATGAATTTGAGTCATACAACAACGCTCACAGTCCATTCTTCCTTCACGCATCAGATCACCCAGGTCTGTCTATCGTTTCTCATATTCTTGACGGATCCAACTACAACAACTGGTTAATAGCTATGCGAATGAGTCTTGATACTAAGAATAAGCTTAGTTTTGTGGACGGTTCACTTCCTAGACCAGCGATTGATAGTCAGATGTTCAAGATTTGGAGTAGATGTAACAGTATGGTTAAGGCCTGGATATTGAATGTTGTGAGTAAGGAGATATATGATAGTATCTTATACTATGATGATGCTGTTGAGATGTGGAATGACTTATTTCTGAGGTTTAGAGTCAATAATCTTCCAAGGAAATATCAACTTGAGCAGGCCATTAGTTCACTTAAACAGGGCAATCTTGCGTTGTCAGCTTATTATACCAAGAAGAAGACGTTATGGGAGCAGCTGGCAAACACTAGACTGACTACTGTGAAGAAGTGTAACTGTGATCATGTCAAGGAGTTGATGGAAGAAGCTGAAACAAGCAAGATAATTCAGTTTCTTATGGGGCTGAATGACAACTTTGCAAATATCAGAGGACATATT